AATTTAGACAGCTTACCAACTAGACAACAAAGAGAAGGAAGTACCATAAGCAATGGAAATAAAAGATGAATTTATTCGTAGTACTAATGTTCGACTATAGAAAAGACCACTGAACGTGCTAAGACTATGAAAGGTAATAGCAGTTCAAGAGTTGTAAAACAAAAGTACAAAAACAAGCAGAATTTCATCTGTCAGGAATTAACTAGTTGGGTTAAAAAAATCTCAGGAACAGCAAGAAAACAAATTTTTAAGAAGACCTCTATTAAGAAGCTTATTTCAGGGTCTCTATGGAAAAAGTATTAAATTATATTAAAAGACATGAAATAAATACTGAGCTAAGAGGTTACATGTTTTAGGAAGGCACAATAGTGCATATCAATGTACAAATCCAAAGCAATTCAAATCAAAATCACAACGGAAATTCAAGAAATTAAGAATAAATACGTCCGAAAAATACTGATAAGGTATAATAATACGGGCTGGCTTCTATTGCCAGATGTTAAATCATGAAGCATGAAAATATTACATGTTCATAGAAATATGCTGAGCTGGTAGAGGTTTTTTCTTTTAGCTTTTGCCTTTTCAAGATTTATAATCAGAAAAATCTTTGACAGTCTAACACATACCACAGCCCCACACCTTCTCACTCTGACACAGGTTAAGGGTTCCCTGCTGCCACCCAGATCCTGGTCCTGTGCCGCTGGAGGCTGGGTTCTGGCAGCACAGGCACCCCGCTGTCCACCTGCAGTGACACAAACTAACAGAGCACTTCGGGGAGCAGCCCCAGGGAAGGCAAAAAGGAGAAAGCACAGCCCGATGTAGCTCGCCTTTCCCTTCCTTTTCGTTGTCTTATGCTGAAATTTTTTCTGCTTATTTCTAGCTGGGCTTCGCCAGGGGGATTCACACATAGCTCTAGCGCTCAGGTGCTCCTGGGTGAGAAGAAATGAATCCTGCTGCTTGCAGAACTGTGCTATGTTTCTGTGCTTTCTTCTGTACGTCTCCGGCAGCAAAGAGAAAGGAAGGAAGGAAAGAGGAAAAAGGGAAGAAGGAGCAAAAGAAGGGGAAGAGAAAAAGGGAAAGAGAGAGAAGAAAAAAGACAGAAAGAAAAGAAGGAAGAGAGCAAGACAGGGAGGCTGGAAAGGAGGGAGAGGAGGAAAAGATGGGCTTCCCCAGCTCTGATGACCCCAGGATCTGGGCCCCTTCTGACCATCATCCTGGAAATGTGTGGTCATAAACTCCTCGCTTCCCACCCGTGGAGCAATACCCAGAATCTAACTAATGAATGAATCAGAAAGTAATTCATTACAGAAAAGCTAGCTTTGCATAAGGGCTTCTCTAAAACCATTTATGGGGAATGATCTCTTGAGTGGGAATCCCAGTACTCAGGAGACTGAGGCAGGGAGATTGCTGGGAGTTGGGGGCCAATTTGAACTGCATAGCAAGATCTTGTCTCAACAAGTAGATAAATAGATAGATGGATAGATAGATAGGCCCAAAAATTAAAAAGAAACAGAGATCATTACTCTGCCTTTACAACAAACATTGCATTTGCCTGTTTTCCATCGCTGTAATGAAACAGCAGACACTGGGTAACATTACAAAGAAGAGGGTGCCCTGAGCTCACAGTTCTGTACCATCTCAGCTCTGCTTTGGTGAGCTGGTAGGTGATGTCACAGAGGTGGAGAGGAAGAGGTCACATCGCCAAACAGCCAGAGAGCAATTCCCCAGTTGGTTTGTTCTGGTAACAAGTCACTCTCAGAGAGCTTGGGTGCTGTGAGAACCTCCATACCTTTCCAGAGCAGCATGTGGGGACAGAGGACCTCCCACAGCACCCACCTCTCACACAGTCACACTGAGAATGCCTGGGAGCACATTCAAGCCACCCCAAGCACAGCTCCCATGGAGAAGCAAGCAAGCACCCTGCAGAAAAAAAGTGAGGTTTCCATGCGATCCACAGTTACATCCTACAGCCTGGGATGAAGGCGAATCTCCAAGCCAACTGCAAAGTGATGAAATTCAGCCTCAATACCATGATGAGGGCTTCAGACCGGAGGGAAGGGGGCTTGGCACTGGAGGGCCAGGCTGGGCTCCTGTTTGTGCCGTGCTGCTTGAAGTGTCTTCCCTGGACGCGCCTGGTCTAGGGTTTGCTGTTCTGACCAAGAGATTTCATTTGACACTCTTCCTACCTTGTCAACACACCGCCAGAAACGTCTACAGAAAACCAGTTACCCACTCAACCCGTGTCTCCTAGGGCTCCTGTGCAGGTGTGCTTCAGGGGCAGGAAGGAGGGTAGGTGGGAAGGACAGCCAGTTCTCAGCACATATTTCCATAGCAGCAAGCCAAAGCCCAGGAGCTTCTCAAGGGCCCTGAGACTCTTCCAGCAAGACCAGGGCGCCCCCTGCAGGGCACACACATACAGCGCGTGTGTCTCCCCTGCTTTGGGACCTGTGTCTGTGGGCTGCTTGCCTGCAGGGTTTGAAGGTCCTGAACTTGACCTTGAGCTCAGACAAGCTCAAGCAAGCTGACCCAGGACAGACAGAAGGAAGGGACAGTCCCTGGAACAAGCCATCCTTCGCAGGACCCCACATCCACTCAGACCCTCCCAACAGATGATCCTGAACTCCAGCACAGTCTTCGTGCTGTCATAGAGTGCAGATCTCCCTCCCCAGGTACTGCTGGGAAGTTGCTGTAAAGATTCCTCTACCTGCTCCAGAGCATGGGGATGGAGGGTGGTGAAGAGCTACTTCCATTTGGGGAGTAATTTAAGCCCCCGGCTCTACAGAGTTCCTGGCCTGGTTCCAGCCCCACCTGGCCCTAGCCTCAGCTCCGTCCACCTCAGAAGAAGCCGCTGGCTCTGCACACAGGATGATCACGCTCAAGTCATCCACAATCTGCTGTCACCGTGCTGGATCTTTAAAGAGGACCAGAGGGAGAAGGAGCCTGGGAGAGATGGTGCGGGCTCTCCTGGCTGTGCCAGGGATGAGGAGATAGAAGATAGGAACCACCTAAGAAGGGCGGGCAGCCTGGGCCTGTGTCCTGGCATCACCTGATGGGTGCACACCACAGGACTCACCTTCAGCTTGGAAAGAGAAGGGTGGGGCGGGGAAAGTAGGGAGAGGACTCGGGAGGCCCCTTTCCTAGGCTGCAAGGTGCACAGATGCTTCAGTGTGGAGACCAAGGCTACCCCACATTTGGATGGTGCTCTAGGACAGCAGGAGAGGGGGCTGCTGCTCTGTGCACAGGCAGAGCCACAAGCCTGGGTCGCAGACTCCCATCAAAGCAGCCCCTCGGATCTGATCCTCCCTGGATCAGAAGCAGTGGGGGGGGGGTCAGAGGCAGGTGGAACTGGGTGGGGGACAGGCCAGGAGCACAGCCCAGCCCTGCTGTGGCATCTGCTTGGTGACCCCTTTGGCAGACCTCTGCTGAGGCTCCAGGTTGGGGTCCAGGGCCCTGGAGGAGGCTGTGTGTCAGATATCGAGTGACCCGAGAACGGGCAGAAGCAGGGCTATCATTGTGTTGTTAAGTGACAGAGCCTCACTGAGGGTCAGGCTGTGGGGAAAGCCTGGGCCTTTACTGATCCCTGGTGCCATGTGAGCAAAGCAAGTGGTGGGGGGAGTAGCCAGCAGTCAAGTGCAGGGGCTGGAAGCCCATTTCCTGCTAGTACCCCTTCCACTGACTTTCCGTGGGGCTTTTGGCCTTATAGATTAAGGAACAGATACTATGTGTCCAGCAGAAAGACCTAGAATCTTCTTGGAACCCTGAGCACGCATGACTTTCAGCAACACTCCCAACTACGTCTGCCTTGTACCCTGGAAGATACCACAGAGTCACCAAAGGTGACCTCAGGTCAGGGCCAATTGTGTCCTCCCCGACCCGGGTCTTCTAGTGGCCTCGTCACAGGGCAGCAGGCATCTGCAGGACTCAGTTCCCTGCCTCCACCCTTCCTTCCTCTGGGACCACCAGCTTTGTCCTCCAAGTGAGACCTGATACTCGAAAGACCCCAAAACACAAGAGACCAAGCATCTACAGTCTGGAAAGCTGAAATGCCCCCAAACTGGGTACTGTCTGCCTAGTTACGGTCACCTTAAGCACCCCAGGAGTGCACATTGGTCTGTGAGGGTGAGCTTCATGTCTTGGCCTGGGCCCCATGCCCTCCGCAGCTCACCGAAAGTATGGAAAAATCCCAAAATCTGTGAGAGTCTCAAATCCAAGGCACTTCTAGCCCCAAGCTGTTTCAGATAAGGTGCATTCAACCTGTGTCAGTCTTTTCTTGATACATAGGGTCGGGATTTGTGGCAGCTGTTGTATAAGTTACTTTCATTGCCAGAGTGGTCACCAGAGAAGACCCCTGTTCTGAGCCCCTTGCTTTTCCTAAGCCCCACATTACAGTCCTCCAACTTGAAGGACCTCCTCCAGCACCCTGTAGAAGCCCAGCAGTATGATAACGGGGAGCTCATACCCAGTGAGCTCGTGCCTGGTGGCTATCACTCGCACCCCACCTGATAATGCAGGTCCTCTCTCTTGTTTTACAGATGGAGAAATGTAGGATGTGGGGAAAGGCTCACTGTGAAGAAGGACCAGAGGTTCAGTGGTTCATGAAAGACAGGTGATCCGAGAGCCAAAGGCTGCTTCCAGTCTCTCCCGCATCACCAGTAGGGCCTGTGCAGACGTGTAGGAGGCCAGCATGTCACCCCACATCCTTGGAACTGAGCCCCAGTGCTGGGGGTCAGCCTGGATCATCGAGGGTTTGCAGGGGCCTGGGAAGGGTGATGGAGGCAGAGAGAAGGTGAAACTCACGTGCTGAGTCCCCGTTACCTGTGATCACCCAGTCAGCCACCAGGACCCTTCCCACGATCTTTCCCCTCAGACCCCGGAGACTGCTGGTGAGAGAGACCTTCAAGAACCCGGGAATACCAATGAGAAATATCAGACATTCCTAAAATAATACTCCATCCTCAGAGAAACATGAATCACAGTTTGATTTGTTCAGTACCCATGTGAAAAACACCAGAAAAGTTTATTTCCACTTGTGTCTACTCCTGCCAGGAAATCTGCTTGTCACCATCCAAATCTACTTCCCCTGTACTTCAGCACCCTGGTGGTGGCAACTGAAAACCTGGGTAACCCCCAAACTATGATGGTAGCTGTAGAAAAATGGCAGGAGAATAAGCAATAGTTGTTAATATTTTACTTGGTGAACGAACTGTTTTCTGAGTTTGAGACACTAATATCTGTCTCCTTGGATATATCCATGTTGTCCTGGGCAGAGTGGAGTTTGTGGTCCCCATACAGCTTAGGCCTTTATTGTTATCAAGATTTGCTTCCTGTCTCGTCCAGTTAGCACCTTTCTGGAAACTTTTTAAAAAGCACAAAGATAAGTGCTGAGTTCTGAATGTATCCCAGCACAGCCAGGGCACAGACTGGCTCACAGCTGGGCTATCAGCCTCCACCACCAACGGCTCTTCGAGCTGTGATGCTACAAAGAGCAGGAAGAAATGCAGTTTAATATTCAACTCAGAACATACTCAGGCCCAAGGAAAATGGGAACACTTCCTGTTCTGTTTGAGTCTAGTTTGGTTTTTTGGAATGCTGGTCACAGCCCACACACTTATTCTAAGGACCCCTTTCTGCATTCCCAGTGGTCTGCAAAGACACAGTTTCCTGGTCACTCGTATGACCATAATATTGTGTAATCTCTGCTTGCTAAGGCTTCATGGAGAATTCATCATGGTTCTCTTAATTACCTAAATTCCGGTCCATCTGTTTTGTTTGCTGTTGGAAACGAGCATAGGTAGTGGAAGTTTTTCCACCAGGAATTAGGTGAACACAATTTCTTGCCAGTGTGTGGTGGGGAAAAGCATTGGGAGAAAAGCATTTCCTCCCTCCAGACACTCGGTCAGGACTGCCCTCACAGCTGGAGAAGACTCTGGTGCTTCTCACGGTGCTGCAGTGGCCCTGAGCCCGAGCTCTCCATCTCATGGCCTTGGTTGCCTGCCTGGGCACCTGCATAGAACTTCCCAAGTCAGTGGGCACAGGGCCACACCGTCACCTGGGGTGCGTATTCTAGAGAGATATCCATGGTTTTTATTTAATAATCAAAGCTGAGTCACTGTTAAAAGTTCAGGACCTACTGCTGTGGAGTATATGTCTGTGTTGTTACAATTTCCACATCAGAGCAATGGTCTAACAGTAATAGCTTTCGAGCCAGGAAGTATCTGCCTAGTGCTCTTAGCTACTTTTCTCACTGCTGAGCCACAATAAGCAATACACAGTTTAAGAGAGGGAGAAGTTTATCATGGATCACAGTTTGTACAGGTTTTGGTCCACACCAGCTGGCTCCAAGGCAGCACAGCATGGCAGGAAGCAGAGAGAGATGAAGGGATGGGAAGCGAGTTGGACGCTCCCGCCATGGCCTGAGACCCACCTTCCCTACCAGCCTTTGCCTGCCAGCATCACGTTCATCTGTAAAGTCATCAGTGAGCTAATCCATCCGCCCGTGAGTATGATCCAGCCACCTTCCAACAGCTTCTCTGAGGTTTTAGGGTGACTTGCAGATATAACTCCTAGCACACTCAACATCTGAGGTGACAGTCCTATTGGGGAAAGGAGCTCTTGTGTAGGACACAAAATATATTTTAATAAAACATAAAATTAAAATGTGCTGATATACTCCATTAATACTACATTAATAACACACCTTGAATATTTTTAAACAAAAAGAAACTTAAGACACACACTGGAGAGAGGGAATCTTTTCTACTTAAAAATTCTAGTTAAGGAATTTATCAACAGGGATGACTTCCTAAGGGTCAGAGATTTTCAGAAATACTTCATTCTGTTGATGAATTGGTTTTTTCTTTTGCAGACATTCAAGACTCAAGTCCTAGGAATGCTGCCAGGATGGACACAGAGCTGCTGGACAATGGGCTTGGCGAGAGCTGCTTAGAGCAGACGCAGCACAATCTCCCTGCTTCCCTGGCAGAGCAGCTCTTGCCTCCCTGCGGCTTTAGGAGGGAAAAGAGGGTTGGGGAATCCTAATGGGGCTGGGAGAGATTCTGAAAATCCCCTCCACACAGGGAGAGTCTGTGTCCGCCCACATTAATGTCCAGATTTCACTGCCTGGTGTCAGACGGGCAGCAGTAATGCCGCCTGCTCTCATGTGATGCTGGCTGTCTGGCATGGGCCTGCCTTAGCCAGGCACAAAGGCAGGAAGATGCCTTCACCAGATCCCCACCCAACCCTGCCCAGCCTGGCTGCCCCTCTCCAGGGTTTAAGAAGGAGATGAGACCATGGTGGGGTGGGATAAGGACCTTCCCCAGTCCTTTGGTTTTCCGTGCAAAGTGGCAAGGAGCTTTCTGTCCTTCCACCAGCAAGTCCTCCAAGAGGGAACAAGATTCCAGTGCAGGAGAAGCAAAGAAATGGCCCAGAGCTGATGGGAAGGACCCTTAATAAGCATATCGTGGTTGTGAGCAGATAGCTAACTGAGTATTAAACCTGATGAGTTGCTAAGTTGGAGAGAGGCCTGTGATGGGCATGTGCTCACTGGCCGGACACTTGCAGTCCTCCACATGGGCCAATGCCGCCTGGGTGTGAGGCCCACTTGCTGCTTGGTTCGGTGGACACAAATGTTGACAGGAAAGGTGGGAAAGTCCTCTCTTACTGTGGCTTAGCAGAGACACTGAGCACATGACAACCATGCCACAGCAATGGGTCCCTCTGCGCTGGGTGACATCCAAACACCTGCCAGGGCCACCACACTAATTAACAGTGGTTCTGATATTTCTCGGGATGCAAGCACAGTAAATGCTGCCTGTGGACCACAACCCTGAGGACCCTGGATCAGAAGAGCCCAGGAAGCCTTCTCTGACAGCCTCCCCAGGCCACACGGTGGCCCGGCCAGATCCCCACCTTGGGCCTCAGAGGCTGAACCTTCTGACACCTGGGCCTGCTCTCTGCAGTCCTTGGCTGCTGGCCTTGTACCTGACACCCAGTAACCTGGCATCCAGCAAGGGTTCGGGGGCTTCTGGAGAGCCGTTGTCCTCCCTGAAGAAGCAGCAGCGCCGACCAGAACAAATGACAGTAAAAAAAACACGAGCCGTCGCACACCAGTAGGCAGATTCATCCTCACCAAGACCCTGGCCAGCAGGGGACCACCAGCCGAGGACGAGCCCGGGTCAATGGGTGACTGAGCCCACTCTGGGTTTGTAGTCACAGGGCGTACACCATGGCAGCTGACCGGGGTGAGATGGCGGGTACCTCCTGGGGGGCATGCGGTACCTCACTTTCTTCCAGAACTCAGTCCTAGCACTCTGGGACTGCTTCTCGGAGTCCCCGCACCACTGCAGGGCCCCATGCTTCTGCTTCAGGTACTGGATGGACTGCGGCAGGGAACTATAGTCCCGGATCCTGTCCAGCTCGATGAGGATCACCTTCATGCCGTCCTGGACGAGGGCACTGTAGACCGCAATCTGCTCCTCGGACAGGTCCTGCAGCAGCCCAGAGCCAGAGGACTCAGAGGCCAGGACCAAGATCAGCCTGCGGCACAGCCTGATGCTCTCGTCAATGACAGTGGCCACGGCTGAAAGGAAAGGAGGGGCGCTCAGAGGGGCGCGGAGACCGAGCGGGGGTGGGGGTGCTACCGAGGACATCGGGGGTCTGGGAAGAGCACATGGACTTTCAGACAGACAGGGACAGAATTAAAGAAAAGATGCTTTACCGCCCGGCACCACCCCAAGCTTTCCCTGAAGAACTGGCCTCTAGGCTCAGCATTACTGTTCCACCGCCCACAGTTACTCCACCACAATCTCTGACCCCCAAAGGTGTGGGGGAGCTTGTCTGCCTTTTAAAAAATAGATTTTTAAGAGGAGCAGGGACACAACGTCAGCTCCAACACTGCCTTACTCTTGTAGTTGTGGCTTCTTCTCCTCCTTTACAGTTACGTAAGTGACCAGAATTTGTATGACTCATTTGGGAACCAGACAACACCCTGCTGAAGGCTCGATGCATGGGGTCGGGGTCCCTACAGACCCAGCTTTGCCGCCATGATCTCGTATGCAAGTGCCCCACTCTGCCCTGCAGTGGAAAAGCAAATGGTCCCATCTGCACAGAGGTGACTTTATTTTCACATTTTTAGAGCCCAGACCAGGGCCCAGCAGGCAGAGGGTCTCAGGAAGACTTGCTGAGTGACCTGGGGAATGAATGCTCCTGGTGAGCAGAAGGGGCTGCCTGCTTTGCTGCACAGCCAGCAATCGGAAGGGATCTTGCCCCCATTTCACAGGTGAGGCAACTAAGGCTCAGAGATTGGATAACATTTAGATTCAGAAGGTGCAAGTGGGTCAAGGTTTATAAAATCAGCTTTAAGCTCGACCCGATTTATCTATTTGAAGTGATGGGGAATCTCTGAAGTTAGTCACAATGACCAGAGAATAAACGGTCGCATGTCCCCACAAATGTCACTGGACACCCGTTCGTATGACCATGAGTCTCCAAAACGAGACTCACATTACGTCCCCAGCAAGAAGAGCAGAAATGGGTGCAGCCAGGGGACAGCCTTGGCCTGGAGGGGCAGCTCCAGGCTCTGGTCACAGACTCCCAGGGGTCGTGGGGAGAGGGTGCAGAGCCACCACCCCTTGCAATGTGAAGGGAAGGAGAAGGTGGTCATTTGTTTTGTCTTTTGCTTCTCTCACTGCTGGTGCTGGGATCTCGTGCCTGCCTCTGTGCTGGGTCCCAGCCCCTAGAGGTCCCTGCCCTTGGGACCTTTGTTGCCCTGTAGTTCACTCACACCCACCTTGTCCAGGGAACTCGTCCCTGCCAAATATAAACAACTTGTACCCGCACTGCCTCTCCAGCACCTCGGGCAGGTGCTGCAGCACCAGCATGTCCATGCGGTGGCACTGGCTGCCCATTTCAGGCCTGGGGTACAGGACATAGGCGTCATACAGCTTCCCATCTGAAAAGCAAATGGGACAAACTTGCATCCCGATCCCTCCAGGTCCCCTCCCGTGTAGAGCTGAGCATCTGCACCGCCGCTGCCACTATGTGGCCTCTGTCACAGGTATGATGGCTTCCCCAGGCCCCACTGGCTGACCTGGCCCTGCCATGCTTCCCCGCCTCAGTCCCACCACCAGCCTGGCAGGGACAGTCTTCCCCACTGCACACAGAGGCTGAGACAGGAGCGCTGCAATATCTCTGCAGTTCCTAATCCATCCCACGTTTGCAGATTATAAGCACAGAGCTGCTGGAACCAGGCAGAAAGTGAGAGCCTGGTGATGCCACCAACGTGACCATCAGGAAGGAGCTTCCGTTACCCTCTGTCATCAGTCAGTACACAGCCACATGGGGCACATTGCTCCAAATCAGCCCCGCCAGTGAATCCCGCTGCTGCAGCAGGGAAAACAAGCCCTCAAGCAGATCCTCTGAACCCAGGGTGCAGCATGGCGCAGCTCAGCGTAACAGCCCTGCTCCCCATGCCCCCTCCCCCCAACCAAGCATGAGCAAGTGTTTAACTGAGCAGCCCTGAGGGCAGTGCCGCGTACTGCAGGGCCAACATGGGCAAGTCACAAGATCCTAGGAGGATGCTCAGGGTCATATGCACAGAACCATCTCCCAAGGCACCATGGGAGGCATCTCTGGGTGTGGGAGTGGGAGAGGCAGCAAGGCAGCTCTGCATGCCTGGAGCTCACCAGAGAGATTCACGGAGGACTCAGGACAGCTTCAGGGTTTGAAAAAGCAGAAAGGATCTATAAAAAGGTCAGGGTCCAAGAGTGGAGGTGGGGAGGCCAGAAAGGGGCCGGCTTGGGACCCCTGCAGGAGGGGGATGTCCTGGGCAGGAGGGACCCCAAGAGCCTTGTGGGCAAGCTTCCAGCCCTTTGGAAAAGCAAAGCAACCTACGGGGTCCCAGCAGGACCAGCCCCTTGCTTTCCCTTTCCCTTTATCTGCTGAGGAGTCCTGGGGAGAGGGCAGATCTGAGACTAACAGGAGAAAGCAAATTCTCCAGCTCCTCACCTCTCCTGTAAATAACAGTAGGTGAAAGTTGCCTGACATGTTTTCATGTTGTCTTTGTCCATTCTGTCCACCCATATCACACGCATGGTCAAACACACACACACACACACACACACACACACACAGGCACACATGCATATACCTGCAGCTATGCAGACACACACACATGCGCAATTACATATCTGCCCACACATGCAATTGCACAATGCACACTTACACATATTTGCATGCACCTGCAGCTAATACATGCAGTTACACACATCTCCACACTCGTGCAACCTTACATACTCACACAAGGGCCTGCACACCCCTGCAAGCATCTGCAGCATGCAAACACATAGACATATTTACAGATACTTGCACAAGTGTGTGATTTTGCAGACACACACAGTTTCTTTTACATCTGCACATGCGTAATGGTGCACACACTTGCACACATGTATACACTCTCAAACACACTCCTTCTCCACCTCCCTGCCCTTGTCCTAGAAGGACGCTGCATGAGAGCTGGGACTCCTGCTCCCTTCTCTGCCCTCGGCAGGGGCAGGCCCTGCTCAGAGCCCTCAGGACTCTGGAAGGTCTGACAGCAGCTCGAGTTTACCAAAGCAGGGATGGCGAGGTTCCAGAATGCAGCAGAGTCAGCTGTCTAATGACCAGGACTAGAGGGTGGGCAGCAGAGGGATGGCTGACATGTGGCTAGCGATGGCCCAAACCCTACACAGCTACAAGTCCTCTCAAGTCACAAGATGAGACCATGAGGCCATGAAGGGGGCATTTTTCTATATGAAATTTGATGTCACAAGTTTGACATCCTATAGCTAGAGATTTTATGAAGAAAGAGGGGAAAATGAAGAAAAAGAAAGAAAACGATTTCATGTTGCAGCCAGCACCCGGGCTTACAGCCCCTTGGTCCCAGGCACTGCCGCGGGTACTTCCCTTCTCTCTCTTGTCCCCGCTGGCGCTGATTAAAAAGCAAACAAACCACTTTTGCTAAGTGCGTTCTCCTCTGGTACTGCTCCACCTTGGCTGTTCCTAAGCAGTTGAGCAGCGAAATTTCTCACTCGGTTTAGAAACTTAAAATACACAAATGCCCTAATTTTCTGGTTTTCTGTTTTCTTCCTAAGGTTTGTTTTTTCTCTCCAGTGCTGGGACACAGTCCAGGAACCATCAATGAGAGGCAAGTGCCCTCCCACTGGGCCTCGGGCCCAGCCCTGACTCAGCTTTGAACCAAGATACAACTTGCAGACTGACTGGCCTCGTCACCGGCAGACGGCCAGTTTGTAACCTGTAATCCAGTGATCCCGACCTCAAGCATTGTGCTGCAGCCCTGGGCACTTTGCTTCAGCCCTCCAATCCTGGGGCCCCAGGCAGCCTGCAGCCCTCCAGCATTCCTGGTTTTGCTCCCCATTGGTGACCACGAAGGACACAGTAGAATCCAGGGATTCTGAGCAAGGAAGCTGAGCCTGTCCAGGCTCGGTGGTTTCCCTGTGGAGCACGGCTCCCGTGGAAACTCACACCTGCTCTTCTCCTGGAGTGGACAAAGCAAGACTCCACAGTGGGGCATTCACAAAGCTCTCCCCACCTGTCCAGTGCCCTGGCCCCTTGCCATGCTGTGTTCTCCTGGAAAAACAAAAAACAAGCAAGCCTTCTGGTTCCATAGCTTTTTTCAGAACTTAGTCCACAAAAAATCCATTTCCACTCATTTAAGACTAGTCAGCCTCAAAAAAAAAAGGAAAAAGAAAGAACAAAGTGAAAATAAAACCAAGTGGGCCCCCACGGCTGCCTTGACAAGTGGGGTGTGGCGGATCTGACACTAGAAATTCAGGTTACACAGGAAAACACATCTTGGCGAGGCCTCTCCTGCTCCTGCCACACCCGCCCCAGGGAGCGCCCCAATGTGGGCAGGAGGAGGAGGCACTGGGAGAGACCTGTGGAGCCAGGCTAAGGCCACCACCCAACTGCCAAGGTCAACTTCCGGTCCTCAGCTGAGGCCCCAGACACTCAGAGCTGAAATGGGCCCACTGGGCCTGTCCTCATGCCCAACCACAGAACCCACAAGCCTAGAGAAGGGTCACTTCAGGCCACTGGCTCTGCGGCAACCTGCTCCCCAGCTGTGGGCACTGGACCAGCAGCCGAGGAGGTAACCGCACAGATGGCAATTTCTGGACACCTCCTAACTGCTGATTTCATCAGGAAAATTCCAGAAATATAGACCTACAAGTGAGCGTTCTGAGAAAGGTGCGTGGGGCAGCCACACTCACACAGCCCACATCTCTGTGAGGAGGGCTGACCTCTCACCCTCTGTCTACCAGGACCTTTCATGTTCTGAGGAGAACCCACTCTACCATGGATGACAGAGCATCTGTGTGGGCCTTGACTGGCCGCTGGCCAGATGTATAAGATTCTTTCAAATCAATTAACATGTATGAATGATTACCTCAAAGGTATTCTACTGCTTCTCAAACTAACATTGCCTCATCCACTCAGAGGAGTAGAAAAATCAGAATTCAACTTGACCTCTCTGTAAGCATCTTTCCTGGGACTGGAATGTTCTGTCAAAACATCCATAGAAAGTTCTAGAAGGAAAGCCACCTAAAGCATGCCACATGGATACCTTGAGAATGCTGTGGCCAAGCCTCCTCCCACCACGCCCTCCTAGAGGAGGACCCCACAGCTGCTCTCCTGTGGAAAGGAGTCCTGGGCGGGGAAGGCACCTCAGAGCATTCGGAAGGCCTGTGCCCTTGCACATCTCAAGTCTCCTGATTGCCTTTGCTTTGGCTTTGAAAGCAAAGGACCTTTTAAACCTAAGGCCTGCCCTTCCTTCTCCCCACCACCTTGTTTTAGCATTCCAGCCTCCTTCGCCCTTTGTTTGCTGTTCTGATTCACTTTGCTCTCAGTCATGCTGTTCTCAGAGAATTCACCACTCTGGCTCAAGAAAGAGAGGGCGACCTGTGAGCAGATCCTACCGGTGCCTGGGCTGGACAGAGAAGCAACAGAGCCCCGGACTCCTGCCACATCAGTGTGTGTCCCTCGCACTGAAGTCTGGGGCCACAGTCTCCTGAGTGTTAAGAGCTCAACTCGCGTGTCTAGAAACAAAGGACTTAGCTCCACAAGGACAGGGCTTCTCTGGCTTCCTCTGTTGCACTCTCAACCTTTACTCCCTGTGCCGGGAAAACCCAGCAAGTCTCCCTCCAGCCTGCAGCCGCTGCTGGGCAGAGCCGGGGTTCAGGGCATCCCAGCAGAGGTGGGGTCCCCCAGCTGTTGGGCTCTGTCCCTGCTCTCTGAGGAGTCAGGTCCCTTTTTCCTCCTACTGCTGCCCTCAGCCTCACCAACAGCAGCCTCGCCACGGGCCTGGCACAGTGAGGTCACTGGCGGCTGGAGCCACACTCCTAGGAGTCGCAGGGAGTCACAGGGGACACACACTGAGGGGACAGAGTGGCCAGAGAAAGACCACATAAAGCAACGCCATCCTGTTAGTCAATAGCACAGAAAACAGCCAAACCACCCAGACCTGAGTCAGGAAAAGTAAATGGTGTTCAGAGTTCCTTCTTACCCAGAGGCGGCCAGGGTCTGAGGGTGGTCTGGAGGCTGAGACAGGGCAGCCTCTGCAGGGACCACAGCAGAAAGCAGAGACTCGGCCCCCATCTGACCACCTTGTGTGATGTCAGACACGTGAGGCCAGGTTTCCATGATGCCCTGGCCACCCAGGGGAGTCTGTCGCTTTCTACACAGCTCGAAGGCCCTAGTTTGTGGTTGTCATGACTTTGTTTTCCATTGCCAGGGACACAGCCCAGGGTTACCATGTGCTACATACAAACTGTTCCACGGAGCCCCACCCCAACCCCCAGGTTGCCAATTCTGAATCAGGACATTTAACTTAGAATAAAGACTAAGACAAGACCCTGTGCTCATCAAGCAGACAGGAACTGGGGCTGTGGTTTGTCTATGCCAAGCAGCTACTTAGAGGACCTCCCTTTGTCACCTCCTTAGCCTGCACCTGAGCACTGCCAACCCCTGCTCATGCCAGCCACACGCATCTCCGCACTGGGAGGGCACTGATTCACCCACCTCCGGGCACCCTTCCTTCTGCCTCATAGGAGTTTTTCCATGCCATCAGGAGACAGTGATGCAGGTTACTTCCTTCCTTCCAGGCCCTAATGGATCGTATCTGTTCTGAGACCTAAGTGCACAGAGCCATGAGCATGATGGTGAGAATTGCCTGGCCCTCCCAGCCCGGGTCACACGGAGGCATCTGTGTGGCCGAGGGTGCTGGCAGGACACAGGTGCCACAGATGAGGACCCAGAGTGCAGCAGGACAGCTTGCTGGATGGAGAGTGAGCAGGGGCCACCTATGCCCCAGGCTCTGTGGGGTGCACCCCTGGGCCCCAGCACTGTCCCAGGCAGGACCTCATCTCCTTTCCCTGCCCTGCCCCTCCTCACCCCTCCTCTCCTCTCCTCTCCCCTCCCCTCTCCTTTTTCCCCTCTCCTCCTCTCCTCTCCCTTCTCTTCTCTTCTCCTCCTTTCTTTCCTTCCACCTATTTGTCCTCCCTCCCTTTTTCCTTTTTCTTCCATTTCTTTCCTCCTTCCGTCCTCTCCCTTTCTCCATTCTTATCTCTTCTTCCCTTCCTTCTTCTCTCCCTGCTTTCTTTCCTTCCTCTCCGTGGTTATGGTTTGTATCTAGATATCCCTCTAATGCCTCATGAGCTCATAGGAGGGGCTTTGGGAAGTGGTTGGATCACAGGGACCCGATACCGATGGGTGGATTGGGCCCCAGTTGTTAGCTGGACATGTCGTTGGAGGTGAAGCCTAGTCAGAAGAATGGACCCCTGGGAGATGTGGCCTGGAAGGCTCTCTCTCTCCCTCCTCCTCCCTGGATCCCTCTGCTTCCTACCTGCCATGCCATGGACTGTTTTTGCTCTGCAACGCCCCTCCATCATGCTATCCTGCCCTGGACCCCACTGACTATGGACCAAAACCTCTACAAACTGTGAGCCAAATAAATCTCTCCTCCCTCAATTTGTGAGTGTTGGGTGCACTTAGAATGACTACCTTGATGGTGGCAACACGACTGGGAGATATTTTCAAAGGAAGACACACACTCACCTTCTTTGGTCTCAGTGGAATGGAAGGCATTTCGATACCAAAGCACGATGTCCACCTTGAAGCTGCTGTAGACGCCCAGAACCGAAGTGACCACGACTGTCAAAGCGACAAACCCTCCTATCAAGTACGCCTGGATGTCTGGAGCTACAAGTGACAGCAAAATAACAGAACAGTACAAACACATCCTCCATTCACACAGACCATCAGCACACGTTGCATGGATAGGTATCCCATATTAGCTGAGGCACTACTGAATACTCCCTTAGTGTGGAATAACATGCATGGAATGGGATCATCCGATCATACCTGCCCATGTATTTTGGGGAACAAAAGTGCTCCAGATAATCCTGCAGAGGAAATCCTGGGAACCCTTGTTGTAGGTGGCAGATACCAGGTGACTCAGTGTGTGTGACTCCTGCTCTGACATCCCCTGTGTGGAGCTCCCTGGCCAGTGTGACACCCCCAGAGGCCGAACCTCCGCATAGCTGTTGGGAAAGTCCCCAGTGGTCCCACAGCACATGAGGGAGTGACAGTGCTGCCACACCCTGCACTCAGAGGCAGCGCTCCTGTCCTACTAAACAGCCCTTCCCACCTCCTGCCTGGAAGCCTGTCTGCAGTGCCACCCACTGTGCCTGTCCTCCTGGGGCATCAGGAGCACACAGGCTCTGACAGGGCAGCCCACCCAGGCACTGGAATGTAAGCTCTCATGGCCCAGGCCTGGGCACCAAGGGGTGGAAACAGGAACTGGGAGAAAAGAAGAGAAATGCAACCAAGGATTCCCCAGCAAGGAGGGAGTCCTGAGTCAGAAAAGGGAACCCGAAAGGAAGAAGAGGGCTCCTCCCTGTTCCTAGAACCCACCTCACAGCCCACTTCCTCCACGGGCCCTCCAGGTCCCCCGAGGAGCACGAGAAGCAAGGAGTCCTCCGCTGTACCCCCAGAGCACTTCCTTCTCACCATTTTACTACCTCACATTGCTCATGGAGGTGGATGCTTTTATTCTGGTGGATTTGCATATGTGCATTGCATAACTTTATCGTTTCTTGCTGTCACTCCCATGCCCCATTCACCCCCAGTTTCACGTTCTGGGGTGGGGGCTCAGTGGGTGCAGTGTGTGTCTATTACACTCACCCCGGCCCCCAGTCCTCCCAGCACCCCTCCTTCCCTTCCTCTTGGGCAGCTCTGCCGCTGTCTCCTTCCTGCTTTCTTGTCATCTGTTAGATCCTGTATGCAGGAGAACATGCAGCACTTGTCCCTTGGAGTCTGGCTCTTCCCGCTCAAGAGTGGCCTCAGAGGATGCCGTGGGCGGGCGTGGGAGAAGCAGTTTTCAGCCCTGCAGCCCGGGTGGTCACAGGCATCCACCATGGGCGAGGACAGACTGATGGTGAGGAGAAATTCACAGAGGGGCACAGCGGCCTGAGCAGCGCCCTGGAAACGCTGCACCAGACCAGCAAGAAAGAGCCAGTCAGAGCGGAAGGCGTCTGCACCCGGACACAGGAAGGAAGTCAAATGGAGCACCTAAATCACTTCGCCAGGGCAATCCCACAGGAAGCCTGGACGCAGGAGACTGAGGGTCCTAACAACCCAGGGCACACAGAGCTGGCCTGAGACTGAAGCGAGAGCTACAGGAACACAGACAGACTCCTGGAGGGAGCACTTCCTACTGGGCTTGCTACAGAGGGGACGCTGCCTCTCTCCTGTGTCCAGTGACTGAAAGGGGAGACAGGAACAGTGTGGGCTCCTCTAAGCCTGGGCTGGACTCTGAATCTTTCTGAACACTGTACACACTCACATGGAAATCCACAGTCCAGCATGAGGCTGGACTAAATAAAGCACTCAGGCTTCCGGGGCAAGACAGACGTTACCTGGAACCCCTCAGGTCTTCGGGAAGGTCCAAGGTCCCCCACAGACAGCCTCCCCTACTTCCTGGGGTGCACCCCCAGCCTCTCTCTGGCCTGATCTTGGTTGTGCTTCTGCCAGAGGCTGCTGAGGAGCCCCGACGGGAGGGTCCTGTCATCTGCTCTGCTCTGCTCCCTAAAGAAAAACAACTCTCCCCTCACCAGCTGCAAAGTCACCACCTCCGTCAAAACATGGGGCCCATGGCAGAGCCCCCTTCCCCGCTCCCTGACTCTGTTCTCAGAAAAGGAGGGACTGCAATATGATGGAAGGGGGCTGGCCAAGCCATGGCATCCCTGGAGAAGGGACCAGGCCAGACACCATTCCCAAGGCAAGGAAACCATTTAGAAAACTAACCCACCCATCCGGTAACCCACAGCAGTGGCCAGAACCAGGGCAGGACTGAGAAATGAGATTGTTTTAGAACTCCCCAAATGTCAGGCTCTGCGCTTGCTTTGCCAAATCACCTCTCCTCATTCTCTGGGCACCACACAGGGTTAGTGACAACAGGTACAGCTAGTCCTGGGCATGAGATGGTATTAAATAGAAAACTAAAAGCAAGCTGTCACCTGGCAGCCTGACTCCATTGCGAACAGGAGGCACCGAGCATACCACGTAGCAACTTGCAGGGTGACCTTGCTTGTCACCACGCAAAGTGGGAATTGATGCGAATGACCACACGTTTCCAGCAGAAAGGACAAATGGTGTCCTGGCTGTGCAGTGAGAAAAATGGGCCAAGCAGCCAGTGCCATTACCCATGTACCAGCTGCCAAACACCTCAACAAAAACCAGGCCCACGAGGCAACCATGCTCTGCAACTCTATTCCGGCAGCGCTCAAACGCAGCAGAGCTGTGCTGTGTTTTCAGGAAAATGAACCTGGATGAGACCACGAAGAAGATGAGACCATGAAGAACTGACTTTCCTACAAATTGCAGGAGTGATCACACAGGTTCCTCAATTCACCAACCGAATTCTTTCCATGATTCTGGTCACAAGTCAAGTTGGGTGAGAACTGAATCACGTTTCCGTGTGAGGTCAGAGTTAGAACCTAACCACTGAATCTGATGTGGTTCATGTCCAATTCATTTTGTGACCAGAATCATGGAAGGAATGAAGTTCATGAAGGGAGGCACAGTGTAGCTAACGGGAAAGGCGTGCTTTGACCCAGCAGAGCGCGTGGAGACTCTGCAGCTCCTCCAGTGCTCACCTATTTGTTTTTTAACTTGTTTCTGATAATTCAAGAGGCAACATCTGCATATAATTATTTACTAAGTGATACATGTAGTCCATGTATTCTTTCCTCTATGCATGTTTTATTTCACAATAAAAAAGTTTTAAAAATTCAATTCATTCTCAGTAGCCCTCCATGGAAGATGTTATGTTCCTCATCACAAAGGTAAAGAAACCAGAACACAGAGAAGGCGAGTGACAGTGAGGTGTCACCTAGCACATATGGCCACCCAGGATCTGAGGCTGCAAACTCAGTACTCAGAGTCCTGGGCTGGGACCACGGTCCTGTCAGTCTGGCACCCCCCGGTAGCAGGGCAAGCTGCAGCTGGCAGCACCGTGGAGGAAGGGTCTCTGGACCAAGCCACAACTAGCAGGCATTGGAATGAGGAAAGAAGTGGAAGGGACCAGGGTGACCCCAGCCTCGGGGCCTGACTAACCTGGAAGACACGAGCTCAGGCACCATTTGCAAAGCTAAGACCAGCAACAAGAGGCCTGAGAATACACACGGCCCCCAGCCTGGGCTCTGTGCCCACTGAGAGGGCTTCCGTGCTGGCGAGCAGACACAGGCAGGTTTGGAGATGGTTTGGGCTGCACGGCAGACAACAGAAGTCACAGGGGAAGGCAGGCCACCAGGAATGAGGATGTGGAGGATGTGTGACCTCAGGAGTCCCCAGAGGACCCTCTGAGAGCAGGGCGAGGTCAAGGCCTGCCCCACCAGGCTGCCCAAAGCCCCATTGAGCTGCTGTTGTGGGCTTATCCACAGCTGGGACAGAGTGACTGTAGCCTCCAGGTCACCAGAGAGAAGCAGGGAGCAGGTACGACAAGAGCTGCAAGCTGCAAGCTGTGGAGGACATCCCTGCTGCCCGCTTCTCCCAGGGAGGAGTGGACGCATGCGGGTTGAGAGCGTGGCAGGTGCCAGGCGGCTACAGGCGATGCAACTGCATTTTACGCAGGGGTCTAGAAAAACGTTCTTCCCTTCTGTCGGGGGTTTGAGTTGGAGGTATGCAAACGAGGGGCCACTGACCTGGAGGGGGCGCTGTTGCCCTGAGGCCCTCCCCCTCCCCCAGTGCATGTGAATCAAAGTCCACCATGCACAGGAAGTTAACAGGAATAAAGTGCCTCACTGAGAACCAGGGCAGCTCACAAGCATTTCACACCCTGCTGCAGGAGGGCAGGAATCTGACATCTGTCCATCCTCCTGCTCCGTTAGTAGCCCCTCCTGATTCTAGTTATAATTTTTCAAAGATATATAGTAAAAATATGCATATACATTTTTAATTATTTGTAATAATCTATACAGGTAAAAATCATCAAAAAAATGGCTATAAATTTGAACAATCTGGTTTAGCAAAGGAAAACTTGGTTTTCAAGAATCCCAATGCACAGAAATCTTAATATATAGGAGTGTGCTGTTTTCAAAACCCAGCTCCAAGGAGATAACCAGCCTTTCCCGGGACAGCATCACTGCATTCTGTCCTACTGCTACTCAGGCCATCATCTCACCCAGCACCTGGATGTTATGGTTTGTGTCTAGATGTCCCCTAAAGCTGCATGCGGTCATGGGGTTTTCTTCAGAGGTGGTTGAATCTGGAGTTATGATTGATTCACAGTGCAATGCTGGGATTAAGGGCTGGGTCAGTGCACTGACACCCTACTCTCACCATACTGGATACCCTATAAGGGACAGAAAGAGGCTTGTTTTGCTCTCCCTTGTTGCTTTTGCTCTTTTCTGCCTCCACAAATGGTTCCCCCGCTCCATGTACCACTCCACCTTGCAACAGCTGATGATGGACTGAAACTTCACAAACTGTGAGCTAAATAAACCTCTCCTCCCTTAACTTTGGGCTTCTCGTATTTTGTCTCAGCAATGAGAGAAAAGAAACTCAGACGCCTGATGTCACCTGTCTTTCACATCCGGTTCCTGGCCATCACCCAGAGTGCTCTGGGCACTACGACCCAACTGGACATTACCTGGGAGCCTGAGCATAATGTAGGCAGCAGACACTCCAGCATGGCACATGAAAGGAAGGCCATAGTCCTCCATCTTCACTTCTAGGAAGGTGATGTTGACCGTGTAAAAGATTTCTTCTTTTAAAGACACATTGGTTCTGCAAAAAGAAAAGAGCGGAGCATTCCCATGAGTCATATTTTCCAGCATCCTTATATTCTTCATTCTGGACATAACGTGTTTCTGTTTCTCAGAAGAATACCTTGCAGGCTGATTTACCCCTGAGGATGTGTCACCGAGTGGCCCGTGGGGAGGGCACTCCCTGTAGTGACGTCTGTCTTTGCTCCTGGCTAGTGAAGAGGAAGTGTGGCTCTGCTGACCACAAAGCACGAGCCCAGCCTCCAGGGCCCATTCCTCCACAAGCACCCACCTCGCCACACGCCTCGGCCCACACCAGTTCCTCTTTCACACCACCAGTTACATCCTGTCTGCCGAGCATAAGCCACACACTGCCCCAAGGGTCTGTGCGCTGGTTCTGGTTTCAGTACTTAGGCCTTGAAGGCCATGCTCAGGCTATAATTTAGTGAGCAGGAGGAACACTGTCCCTCTAGGCTCACCTCTGGTTTGTCACCTGTCCCTGATTCGTCTGGGCCTACTGATGAAAGGTCCCACAGTTTCGGAACCTGATGCTTGGCCATGCTTGGTACTCCAAGCCAACAGTGAGCAGGAGATGGGGAACCCTCCAGGGTCCCACCTGTCTGCACAAGCACGTGGCTGGAGAAGCCCAGGTTCACATTGGACAAGCCAGGAGAGGGAGCACCTACTCAATTCCCTCCCGGATGCGCCTGGAGTCCCTGTAGTAATCATCCACGATGGTGTTGTTGACCTTCCAGCATCGGACGTTTGTGTTCTCCCTGATGTCTGTTATTTTGCAGTCCACGATGAGGCGGGAGCCTGTAGCAGTCACAGCGTGAGTGTTAGCTGCAGCCGTGAGGTTCTCAGCTGTTCAGCTGGGTCGGCACCCCACGCGCAGACGCCTCTGGCTTGTGAGCCTCGAGTGTCTCTCGATGAGGAGAATGGCTCTGGGGTCAGTGACAATCTGCTCAGTTCGGATGCAGCAGGTGGAGGGACCTGGCAGGCAGGGACCCCACACAGAGACCGGCGTGGCCGACACTCTCAGCTCTGAGGAAGGCTTCCTGCACTCACGGGGTCACGGCATACCTCTGCACTCAGGGACATCAGCAAGGAACCTCACAGTTCACAAGTATTACCTGTGTGTCTCCTCCCTCGTGCTTCATGTCTTTGGAATAATCCGACAAGGCAGAAAAAGGGGAAAAGTTACTATCTGTCCCTGTCCTAAGCAGAAAAAGTGAACTTCAGGCCCATTGGGTGACTTGCCCAGGATCATATGTGAACTGGAGGAATGAGAGGGACCTGTTTTCCAGTTCCGAACCCAGCAATATTCCTCCTTGGGAAATGTGAGCCCATATGCTTTCTCCTCTTCTCCTTACTCAGTCTCCACACACATTCATGAATCACATGTATATGTACATTGTTTTTGAGACAGAGTCTTGCTATGCAGTTCAGCCAGAACTTGAACTCACTTTGTAGCCCAGACTGGCCTTGAACTCATGACAATCCTCCTGCCTCAGCCTCAAGTGCTGGGACTACAGATTTGTGCCACTTAGCTCAGCATGAATCATATTTAATAAGTTTGTAATTTCACTTTATTTTGCCCTGTGAGCTCAATAAATCCTACTTCAAGTTTCAATGAATGTTCTTTATTTGAATATTTACTGCTTTGTGAATATAACATACATATTAAAAATCATAGAATGTGAGTACAAAGCTAATGAATGACGAGAAATCAGCTGTTCCATCTCACCATCAAAAAACCAGTGCACCCTAAACCCCAAGCGATACCCACATTCCCTCCTCTGCTTTATATTTAAATTATCGTAGCTTTCTAGTACTTCCTAAAATCTGGTGGCACACATCTTACTATTCAGTTTTTCCGCATTAAATGTCTTATTATAACTTCATAAACCCAGAAAGCTGTTAGAAAACTGCGGGCTGAAATTTTCAGATCTGATTAAAAAAAATTTACTTTGGGGCTGGGGATTTAGCTCAGTGGCATAAGCGCCTGCCTTGCAAGCAAGCAGTCGCGAGTTCGATCCCCGGTACCAATAAAAAACAAAAAAAGACAAAAAAAAAAAAAAAAAAGAAGAAGAAGAAGAAAGGAAAAAGACAAAAACAAAACAAAAAAAAATTTACTTTAAAAACCCTACATAAACGCTACTTTAAAAACCCTATGCTCAGTATGAACTGTCCACCCCTTTCCTCTGTGTGTGCATGTGCAAATGTGCATGTGTGTGTATGTATGTGTGTGTGTGTGAGTTAAAGGCACATTATACATTTACAGGGTCAGTGCTGAACTTTCCTCAGTATAAAATGTTTCCCTCTCATACTTTTGCCTTAAGCTATATCTGATTAGTATAATTAATATAGTTATACCGACATTATTTTAGTATTTATGTTGTATATCATTTTCTGTCCTTTTATCTCCAAGCTTCTTATAAACAATATTTTTTAAAATTTTTTAACCCAGTATGACCAGTTTTACTGAGAGTATTTCACTTACTAGTTGATGACAAATATTGTTTTAAATTAGCCATTTTAGGTAGGTTCTGGGTGATGATTTATTCCATATTTGAGTTTTCTTCCTTATCTTTCTTGGATTCATTTCGATTCCTTCTCACTCTATTTCTGGCTACTTTTTAGTATTACATTTAACTATGTGGTTTTGTAAAGTATTATTCTTTTACTGTAACTCTAGACAATAAATGTATCCCTGGGATTTGTCAAAGCCTGATTTATTGCTATTTTTACCACCATCTCGGACACTGCAGTCTCAGGACTCACTTACCTCGCCCTAGAAGGTAGCAAATGCTACTGCACATTCCCATTTCACAGTCATTTTAATTTTAATTTCAAGTTTCATGTTCATGCATGTGCACATGTGTACAAGTGTGTATACGTGTGTGCGTGTGTGTGCATATGTGCATGTGTATGTGTGCATGTGTGTGCATATGTATGTGCATGTGCATGTGTGTGTGCATATGTGTGCATGTGTGTGTGTGACCTGTGCTCCTTCCACACCCTCACACTATACTTCCTGTTCTTTTCTTTCTGGGTGCTTAGTCCTGTGTATTTTCTCCTGACCTACATTTCAGCTCATTAATGCTCTTTTAAAGCATATTTTATATACCATGAAAACATACTGTATTGACCAATACTGGACACTTTGTTATTTTTCAAATCTGGTATGCTGCTATTTCTAGTTACTAGTTCTCCTTTGAAAGTGTCAATCCAGCCTTTCCTTCCTTAAACATGCTAAAGACCACATTTACAGTTTGCCTGTTGCATTCTCTCAGTGGATTTTGTTCCCCACCCCCTCTCCTGCCTTTGAAAACTTAGCCCGGCTATTTAAACAATTAAAAACTAGGACTCCTTTTTTTCAAACTGAGGACTGCACCGGAGGCTTTCACACTGAGCTATCTCCTCAGCCTTTCTTATTCCTTACTTAGACATTTACTTAGGAGGTGTATAAAAGCACCCACACAGGAGCCTTGCCTGCCTGTCGGACACTCTGTTCCATGACGGTTTAAAGGACTCCTACACCACAGCCGCAGCAGCTCCTGCACAGACGGCAGCTCCATCCCACTTGCTGTGGTGTAAGTTTTCTCCTCTCTCGTCAGGTGGTATACCTGAGTTTTTCTGCCCTGGGAGACCAGAGGTGCAAGAGGCTTATCCACCTCCCTCCAGTGCTTCCTCCCTCAGCCAGCGCACAAGACCCACCGTAGCACTGGGGTTTCCTTTCAACTCTTAATTTTGTACGTCTAACTTCGCTGTTTAGTCACTTTTTTAAGAGAGAGTTAAATGGTTATTCACACATTTCAATGCTCTCCACACTTATTTGTAGCTCTGTTTAAAGACAGAAACTTGTTTGGATAATGCAAGGGAAGCTGAACTTGAAAAACTATCACTGACATTACTTTTGTTGTTGTTGTAGTTGTTGTTGTTTTGTTTTGGGGTTTTGTGTTTTGTTTTGCTTTTTTCAGACCAAGTCTTGCTGTGTAGTTAAGGCTGGCCCTGCACTTGCTGTGTACCCGAGGCTGGCTTTAAACTCTCAGCGATCCTCCTGCCTCAGCCTGCCCAGTGCTGGGATTACAGCAGTAATTACCACCAGCCTGGCTTCTGTCATTATTTCTGAACAGACTCTACTATGGCTTCAGTTTTATTTCAAGCCAAGGAGAGTAAACGATTAGAAGTCAAATTAGTGTTTTTTTTTTATTTTGAAAGATTTTAATTGACAGTAACTATAAGGATATTTTGGTATAAGTTTATATTGGGATTATAATTAAATCAAGTATGATAACACACCCAGCACCTCGCATGCTGATTTCTTTCATTGTTTTGACTTGAGTTTTAAGTTCTACATTTACTACATTGTGGTTGTGTCAAGTGGTTTATACGACTTCCTCTTTTAGTTCTGTAATGTTATGTTTATGAGTCATTTATTGAACACATTATTCTTACTAAAGGAATCAAATACTTTAGATTCTTATTTATTTATTAAATATGTCAATGCCATGCCATGTTAAAATCCCCCTCTACAACTGAACAAACTCAATTGCCTTACTGTATCACTCTGGTATTTCAGATGAGACTCTTAGCTTTAAGTTTTGATGAGCTGATATTGGATATATAACAATTTGTATTTGGGGCAGTATTGTAATGTCCTTTAGTATAAAGTGATCCTATTTGTCATTTACTGTTTTGGTTTGTTTTTTTGTTTGTTTTTGTTTTTGGTTAGTATTTCCCACGTGATACCTCACTTACACTATTTTCTTTAATCCTTTAGATAATGGATTTTTACACATGTGGCTTTGGGGGATGAAAAGTAACTAGATTATAAAATCCTAATTGGATTTTACTAATTGATTTAATTCAAATAGCTATGTTTAGTGGAGACTTCAGTTAAATTTTTTAGAAGATATTTGACATGTTTTATTTTACTAGTGACTCCCTTTGAATTTTAAAAACTGATTTGAGCCTCTTCTTTTTCTATTTAGATCACCAACTGGGACAATATTTTTGATCCTTTCCTACACAAATGAAGGAATATAACATGACCACTTCCCCTCTCCTTTAATATTCTTTCCAGCAGGAGCTAACATAATCCAGAATTCCTGACCAACATTAGCTAGCTGTAGTTTTACCTTATGCATTGCCCTTCTCAGGAATTATTTTTACGTTTTTATTCCCTGGGCATTAACATCTAGACCCACCCTGCTCACGGTCAGACTCCCAGTGTGCCCGCTCTCCTAGGCTTCAGGTTTGCTCAGTTTCTATCTCAGTGCTCTCCTGAGCAGCCCAGGTATAACCAAAGCTGGAAACCAGATCTGTATGAGATGTGTCCTCATCTTGAAATTCAAAATACCCCTAGACTGTGAGGCTGTGATCAAGCCCTGCCCTGGATGACAATGATTCACTGCCTCTACTCACCAAGTCGGACTTCAATGGAATTATTCCGGGGGTAGAGGATCTTCGGGACTCTTCCTGCAGAGCTACTGCTCTCTACTAAGAAATCACACCCACACAAGGACGTTAGAATACCATGCGATGCCTGCCTAAATGCTTTGCAGCATCATAGATCCTCTATAAACAGGGGTCAAGAAAACAAGCCCCGTGGCATGGTAAAACACCACCCCACCAACGCGTGCTATTGCAACAAGAAATAACTGAATTATTGAGGGGAGATGGGTGACTAGAAATTCAGCTGGCAAGAACTTTCACTCCAGCCCTCATCCACTTGGTTTAAACACAAACCAACAGGATGCTAGACTCACTGGTGACCAAACAGAAATGTTTACTCTCAGAGATCTTGATTAAGGGAAGCCAGAACTGAAGGCCATCCAAGAACACTGCAGGTCCCTGAGTCATTAATCAAGAACACAGAGAGGACAGAGGAGCCCTGTGAGTGGGAAGCCTGGTGGAAATGGGAGTCGCCAGCGTTTTGGGAACTCACTCGGGGTCTGGGTGGTCTGGACCCCTCCCGCTGGGCAGTACCAGGCACTAGTGAGGTTTCCCGCCCCGGGAATTTGTGACAATGAGCAGGTCCAGACACAGCTCTGTACTGCAGAGCATCAGAAGCCATGGACACAGAGAAGTCCCTGGCCCAGGCAACTGGAAGGGGAAGTGCCCGCCTGGGCATGAAGGCCAGATTCCTGACCCTGTCTCCACTCCAGGAAGTGCTGGGAACTTCTCTGAGGTGCTCCCTCCTCAGATTCTGGAGAAGAAGGGCTAACTGACTTTCTTCCTCCCACAGGATTTTCCCATGAAATCTGAAGCATGGGTGGTCAGAACCTGCCATCCTGGGCTGGGAACCAGAACCTCGTGGGCAATGGGTCTCCCAGAATCAGACACCATGGGTCATTGACAGCCAGTGCCAGGGGAGGTCAGCACTGGGTGGCCATCAAAACCCACCACAGTGCAGGCTAGGGACAACAGGGTCATAGTAACCCCTGCCACACACTGAGCACCAGGAGCCCCACCACAGCCCTATACCCGAGACTCACTGACTGACACACAAACCCAGAGTTTTAAGCGCTCTTTTTCTCAGATGGGAAAGCCAAGCTGCTTCTGCCCTCCTCCCTCCTGCCCTCTGTGCTCATCCCCTGACCTAGTAGTGATCAGTTTGAGATTTTGCTGATCTTGGGGGGAAATCAAGATCTGGGTCATTACTACCCACAGCCTGAAGCCAGCCAGCTCACCCACACAGACAGGAGACCCAGTGACAGGTGTGGACATACTTACTGATACTCACTGAGATGCTATTTAGAACCATGTATGGGCTCCCTGGACTGCCCTGGTGCGTCAGCCTGGCCATGCATCTGTAGTTGCCCCCATCCTCTGCAGAGATATTGTTCACAAAAAGCTTCATGCCTGAAGAAATGAACTTCTGTGGCTGCCCAGTAATCTCTTTACAGTCCTAAATTTCAATAAAGCAATCTAGTTAATGAGCATCTGGGAGCACTAGTTGCACTCCTAGTTAGTGCCACCTATGAACTATAGGGAGACAAGAAATCTCATGCTCCCTACACCTTGCTATTTACCATCTCAGCAGAAGGTGATTGATAGGTAAGTAGTTAAGTAGATAGATAGAAGATAGATAGAAGATAGATAGATAGATAGATAGATAGATAGATAGATATAGATAGATGGATGGGTGGGTGGATGGATGAATGAATGGATGGAAAAAAGGATTCCTTGCTCAGTCAATGTAGTGTGTGTGTGATCTATATATATATGCAATCTATATTTGTATGTAGCTGGCTACATCTGTCTACAGAATATCTGACAAAAGAACATGCCACAGAACTGAGCCATGCAGGGTCTCGTCGGGACAAGCACAGGCAGGACTGTTCTCCACCACACGGTCCGTCTTCCCCCGACTCTTGTCAGTGCAGGTAAGAACCAGCTGCTTCTGCCAGTGACAGCTCCTCTACCCGTTAGGGGCTTCACTTTACCCAATCCGAAATAACTCTTCACCGGCATCCGAGGTGGAGCTGGTGAACAGCAACCAGGCTTCAGAGAGAAGGTGACATGTGGCATCTTGTGTACCCTTGGCCTCTACTGCATCAGCATGGAGCAATCTCAAAGTCAACCAACATGAAGACCAGTTCATCTCAAGAGTGCTCTTCTCATTGTCCTTGTCAGCCAGCATCCAGAGGCTGATGCCCCATCGCCATCCTCTCGGAAGCTCACACACCGGTGCTGGTCACCATGCCTGCTTCTCAGTGCCTCCTGCCAACTCCTCTACCCTATTTCATTCCACAAGGTGACTGCCCAGCCAACTGAGTGTGCTTACTCCATTCTATACCTGTGCTCCTGTCTTCTAGAGTCTCTGTCCCTGTCCTCAGAGTGTCACAGGCAGCTGAACTAGTTAGAAATATTACAGGCAGTTGGACAGGGCTAGGCCCTTGAGGAAGCTGGCACAGAGGACTAGCTGTCTGATGACCTTGGAGGAAACATACACCTCTTTCTGTGGACCAGACAGGAGGCAAAACAAATGCAACCACACTCTAAGTACAAAACTTAGGGACTAGGTATGGATCACCTTGAGAAGCCAGGAGTCACCATCCCAATTCCCTACAAGAAGAGTCACCCATCCATAAGAATGCTCATTTGCTAGGTGACTTGGGTCCCCATGTGTCCCTGACTTGGTCAATTTTACCTGAACAACTAAACTTATTGGTTGACCATAGTTCTGTCCCACCTCATGCCTGTCTGCCTTATGAGCTCCTAGTTTTCCCCACTTTAGACCTGCCTCTCCTCATGGTTTTACTCTATAAAAATCCCTAGAAAAGACAGAGTCTTTGGCACCTACTTGGGACCCCTTCTGTGTAAGACAGAAGCTTTCTTTCTCTCAATAAATATATTCTGCTCTTAACTTTCATTGTTCCTAAAATTCATTCTTCAGTTTTAGAGAACACGAACTCATATAGATGTATAGTAGGTCAGGAATTTCATTGCCCTGTATCAAGAGGACGCATGATCTAAGCATAACACACACATACACACACTGATGAAATGGAAAATTCACTGCACATGTGTTGAATGCTCTCAGTCAGCCACAGTGAGCAGTCAGACCCCATCCTCCACTCTACAGCCACAAGGAAAGCTCAGGTGACACAGCAGAGCTCAGCAAGTGAAGCCAGAGTGTTTCTTTATAGTACAGTCATGACCGCCCCAAAGTCCTATACCGCCTCCTTGTAAGTACCTACAGGGGAAGCCAGGCTATCATTAGGCAATGGCCCACCAAACAGAAAGGGAATTACTATTAACTCCCTTCCACAATCCACAATAGCTAATTTTGCAGACTGCCCTAAGGGATAAAAAGGAGACTTGGCATTAGCAGTATCATCCAACTAAATTTTGTTTTGTTTTGTTTTTTACCAGTGAGCTAAATCCCTGGCCCCTAACACTGGTTGGAGATTTCCCATTAACTCTTTAAGAATGAGCCACCCTCTCCCCACCCAGTAAGACTAAAACCAAAATCACTAAATCTAAAAAAACTCCAGGGCAAGGTCCATCTCTGTCCTCCTGAGCCATCCCAGGATTATACCTGCCCACTGAGTCTCTGTCAGGCTTGAGTCTTGGCTAATCCCCATAAACAGTGGCTGCCTTGGAGTATGGTGTCGCCTTCTTGGCCCAGCTGGAGGGATTTCCCAGTCACTCCTTATGTATTACTATTGTCTATTTATTCTGTCTTTTCACTGTACCCTTAACACAGGCAACCGGGGTTCTGGCCGGGTCCCTGTTACCAAAGGACTTGTTCTTCCTTTGGTGCCAGGCAGATATTTAATTACATCAGTGCTATCTAACAGCCATGGACCACAACAGTTCCCATCCACTGTGGCATTAACCCTGCAAGGCTCGACTTTCATTTTAAAATTTGAGGCATCGGCCTCACTGTCAAAATTCACAATTAAAATATGAATAATAATAGCAGCCAATATTTGAAGGTGTCTTACATTCCAGGAGCTAGGATGAACACTGATAACCTGGCACGTACAATATTTCAGGGTCGCACAATAAGGCAGAGCATTGTGGCAAAGGTGCAGGGATGTAAAAACTGATGGACATAAAGCTGATGAGGCAGGTCAGGGGCCAGGCCAGAAACCACAAAACAGGATGGACACCCGGAGCTTAGGGGCAAAAGCTCAACTGGTGCACAAGAAAGATTAGGACGCCATGGCCACTCTAATGATGATCAAGAGGCAACTTCTCATGTTGTTTCCACAAAGGAAGACCAGGTAGGGCCTGAGAAAAGCTGGACAGTAGAGACAGGAAGAAGAGGACAAAAGGACAGTGAGCTAAATCAAACAAAGGCTACAATTAGCACCTTGAAAACACTAGTAAAATTGACAAACCTTTGGCAAGAGCAATCAACAAAGAGAGAAAACAGAAAATACATGACACCGAAATGAAAAGAGAGAGGTCCCAACAAACCCAAGACTGTCAGAGACAGCGAGAGTGTAGAGCTCTATCTCAATACCTCAGCAACTCACAGGTGAAATAAAAAGTCTAGAGAAGCACAGCGTGCTAAATCTGCTGCAAGAAACAGAGAATCTGAACAGTTCTCTAACTACTACAGATAGCAAGTGTGTCCCTTAAAGCTTTCTCTTGACAAGAGTTTCATCACCAGCTGGCTTCATCACCACACTCTAGAAGCAAATAAAATAAAATAAAACTAATCTTAAATGTTTCTAGATTTTAAAAAAAGGCTTATACAGTCACACTGAACTCGGGGGCTGGCAAGCCCAATGGAGAACAGAGCAAATGTGGAGACCTGCATTAACTCAGGAATTTGGCCCTCCCACAGGAGAGGGGTGACTGACTCAATGATATATTGGTATTAGGCAGGATGGGCCTGAACAAGGAATGGCAGTGACTTCAGTTGGCTGCTCCCTGCCCAGAGAAGATTGTTGGGATCTGTTTGGGTTGGGTCATGCCCCTGGCCAGGACCCAATAGCCAGGGACAAAATTGTTCCCAAAGTTTTCCCAAACTGGTTCCATCCACACGGCACACACTAACATGAACATGATGAAGGACTCCACTGGTTGATGGGCTCAGAGGGGAGGGTCCAGCCTATATCACCCCTGCTTGCACCTCAATGACCAATAGCAAATTGGAGAGGGCAGAAATCCCTAGCCAGCATACTTCAGAAGAACCAAACAAAATACGGAAAGGGGCTGGGACCTCCACCATACACCTGTATGGTAGAAACCACAAACATAACAAGAGAAAGAAACAAGAAAAAGCCTCCAGCCCCAACCAAGGAAAATAGGTCCAGCAGAGATAAACACAGAAGAGATCAAGGGCAGTAGACATGCAATATCAGATACAGCATCAGCTGACATAAAGAAATATCTTCATGACATTATAGATGAACTCAAAACTGAAATTCTAAGTAAAGCAAGATATAAGAAGATTAATAAAACAAATGCTAAGCACCTCTCAAGAAGACACAGAAGGAAGAATGGAAGAACACAAAAAAAGGAGAGAACCATCTGATGAAGAATATTTTTTTTAAAAAACCCTAGAATACATGAAACAGATTCAAAGAGATTACCAGGAAATTAAAAACTCCACTGAAAGCTGGCAAAATTGCCTGAAAGAAACTAGAGATAGATTAACAAAACTTAAAGATAGGTTTGCAATGTGTGATCGTGAAAGGAAAGATCTCTTAAAAATAACAAGGAAACAGGCAGTAACAATACAAAGGCTAGAAGATGACAAGAAGATCTATAACTTAAAAATAAAAAATGTGAGTGAAGAAGCAGGAATAAACACACATGAAATATAAAGGCTATTCACAGAAATAATTAAGGAAAACTCCCCAAGAATAGGAAAAGGACATGATAAACAGATGCATAAGGCATATAGAACTCCAGCCAGCTACAACCAAAACAGATCTGCACCCAGACATAAGATAATCAAGATCCCAGAAATTCATCACAAGAACAGAATATTAAAAGCCATCAGAGGAAAAAAAAACAGATCATCTATAAAGGAAAACCCATCAAAATCATTGACAGACTTCTTGACACAAACCATGAAATCAAGAGCTTGGAACAAAGCATTCCAAGCCCTGAAAGAAAATAACCTCCAAACCAGATTCATGTACCTTGCAAGAACTTGGAACAAGCTTTCAGGGCATTCCAAGCCCTGAAAGAAAATAACCTCCAAACCAGATTCATGTACCCTGCAAAACTGTCTCTCAAAATTAACAGAGAAACAAGATGCTTCCATGACAAAGAGGAACTGGGAAAGTTTGTGACCACCAGTCCAACTCTACAAAAAGTATTGAAGGACATTCTACAGAGAGAGAGAAAAAAAATCAGAATTCCAGCAACAGTGGCAGAGAAGCCTCAACAAACAGAGCAGACAGTGTAATGAAGGAGAAAAGTAGACAACCAGTGGTA